AAATGCTTTGTTTGCTACAGGAACAGGAGACCACTGGTGTCCAGTTGCCATGCTGTTAAAGATAGCAAATCATTCAGCTGGAACTCTTGGATTTGAGTGACTTGTTTGGCTGAAACTCGTACCAGTCCCATCAGCAGAGGCACAAGGCAGGACATCTGAGGACAGTCCAAGCAATAGATTTGAAGTGCCAGCTACTGTCTTCTGCTGTGCATTGTCAGAATATGGACTTAATTTTTATTCTGACTGTACTAGTGTGTACTTTGCCAATTGTATGCTGAGAAGCAATGAAAAAAGTAAAAAAGCATCTGAAAGTAGATGCTGAAAAGGGTTTTTTAAAATTATCTTTTTTCCTTATCTCATCAGTAGACTTCAAGATAATTAATTATAGCAGCTGTATGCTCTTAAGTGGGTTTTTATAGAATATATTGTGCTTCTAAATACGTTAATTTCTTTTAAAATGTAGTATTTTAGGAATCTTAGGGATTATTCCATGAAAGGATGGTAAGCTTTTGGGTTGCAAATCCTATGGAAGTCTTGAAAATTGATCATTTCTCCTTAAGATGGCTGGACTCAAACTGGATGACTGTGGCTGTGCTACGTGCTGGTACCGCAGAGGTATAATGGGCCTGATGGATAGCTTTGCTTGCAAAATTGTTTTATGGGTCTTCATTGGTGAAGAACTGAATTTTCATACCTGACCTGTACAATCAGTATTGCTGGTGTGAATCTTGTGAAGAGGCTAGGTCGGGTGGCACAGTCAGTGGAGCTGCTGAAAGCCTAAAAGTAGTGACTGGTGAAAATCAGGGGAGCAGAGTTCTCCCATTGCTTTCTCTTTGCAACGATTATGCCTGTGAACAAATAGCAAGAGAAGCAGTTATTAGATATGTTGTACAGGTCTTGTGCAACACAGCTCTGAATGAGTGTGTAGACAGTTCACTACTTTAGCTGAACTATCTTTCTGTAGATCTTATGATGCAACTTGAATGCAAGCTCTTCTAAAAAGTATTTTGCTTATGATAATTGAAGAAATGAAGCTTTAAATACACACTTTCCTGTTCTTTCCATTTCTGATCTTCCTCTGATTTATTGGCGGTTTTAGACTTGTGGTTTTATTAAGGATTTATTCAAAGCAAACGCCTGTTCTGAAGGTGAGGTTTTTGTACGTGGTTTCTCATTTTGACTGTTTATATACTTAGTTACTCAAGTTGGGTTTCTTAGCTCAGTGAGTCTGTCCCTTCTTCCTTTGCAAGTCCCTTACAGACGTGCTGCCTGCGTGGATGAAATGTCATGCTGTGACCTCGGAGTCCCCCACGTGTCTGGCTGTCTGTGGATAGGTCATGGCATGCTGTCAGCTATGGTGTTAGCAAACGTGTTCCCACCTCCCCCTTGGTCTGGTCTCTTATTTGGCTAAATAGCAAGAGTGCCTGCCTCTTCTGCAGTTTGGGACAGACTTCCTTCTCATGTTCCTCCCCTTCAAGCAGTGAATCCTTGTTTGAAGTCCCACGTGTGTCCTAGGAATTGCTCCTGGGTTGACTTTCTTGGGAGTTCAGCCATCTCTTTGTGTGGCTGTTGTGTTAGTGGGCTCAGACACTGAAGCAGTTGCATGGATTTAAAAAAAAGAAAAAAAAGAAAAAGTGTATGTTTATTGATAGATGCAACTTTTTACCTTGGGCTTGTCCTTTAGTTGTGCCTCAAGGGGTCTTCTCTCCCCTCCCCTAAAGATGGGTCTTCCAGTTGCGTATATTTAGGAGCTGTAAACTTTTTTTCCCCCTTCCCTGACTTTTCCAGTGTAATGCAGCAAGGGAGCTTCTCTCTAGAGGAGGTTTGCCCTCCATAGCTAATCTGAAAGGCTTCTTGGTTCTCGTTAGAGCTCATGTTTTCCAGAAGCACATGGCATCGACCTTGGGGCTTGTCCTTTGCTAGTGAGCATTTTATATCAATGAGTGTGTTCCACTTCTGCTCCTGAGCGATGAGGCAATTTCAAGGCAAAACAATTTTCCAGGCGGTGTGGAAAACCCCAGTGATACCTGATGCTTTTGGCACATGGGCTGACAGGCACTCTGAGAGGCTGAACAGTATAAAGGGAGAAGTGGGGTTTCCCTGGGAGGCAATTGCTTCAGGCCTCAAATCTAGAACTTTCTGATCTTTTTTCAACACTGTATATTTGGGAAGGTCTGAGTTTTCACAGGTCTTATGCCAGCTGGTAACATTGAGGAGCTCTCTAATCTGATCAACAGCCAGCCAAGCACATGCAGCTGTGTGCTCAGTTGTCTCTGAGGCAGTAATGAAGGGATTGTCGATCTCTAGACGATAGACACAAAACCAGAAGATGCCAGAAATGGTGGAGGACCTGCTCTGTAAACAAAAACATGTATCCAAAATTAGACTCACCTGGCAATTGCCCATAGTCTAGACAAAATTAAATAGCTTTATAAACCTCTACCATAAATGGGAGCCCTAAGGGAAGAGTTTTCCAGCCTTTTCCCAGAAGTGTGAGTTTCTGCAGGCTAACCTTTTCTGTCTTGGACAGAAACAAGGAGTAACAGCCTTTCTGTTTCCCTTTTCTTTTGGTCAGGAGCCTCATGAGCATAGTTTCCTCTACTGTTGCTTCTCTTGCAAGCTTTCAGGGAAGCAAAACTAATAATTGTGGTTTTAATGTGCCTATGGACATTGGGAAAAGAAGATTATTTTCCAGCAGCTGGAAGAAAGTATTTAGGGATGTCTTTGAGTTGCACCACAGCTCTTCTACTTTCCTGTCATAGTCTGGAAATCCAGGGGAATATGTTCCAAGTTGAAAAGAGCAGAAGAGCCTTCCTGGTGTAACATACATTGTATTGCCCATGCTGTGAAGGCATGTGGTCTTGTAAATTGGGAACATGTTCCAGTGACCACTGCTCTGAGTGAAACATCTACTGAAGTGATCACTGGCATGTGCCAGTGGAAGAAGGTCTTTAATTTCTGATTGCTTAGAAGAAATTCTCTCCTGTTCCTTCTCTCAAATACTTGTTCTGTGCCAGAACGGCATAGAAACCCTACAAAGCCTTGAACAATCTACCTTGCTTAGTAACTTTTGATAGTTTTCCAGGTTTATTTTTGTAGTTTTAGCACTCCTACTCTGGGTTCTCCAGATGAGACCTTTGAACTTAGGCCTATCTGAAGGCACCAAAAATTTGAAATTTAAATCCATCTTGAACTGATTGGACCCCTAATGAATAGGTGGATGTAGGATTTTTGGGTATTCTTTTTTTTTTTTTCTCCCCCAACCTGTTGGTTGTTCCTGTCTGACTGTTGTCTTCATGCTGACACAGTCATAAAAACATGAAGGTGACCTTAAGTAAGTGTCATGAAATGACTTCATGTTGTTACGGCTGATACATTACTATCAGAGCAGTGCCATCATTCATAAGCTATCAATCACATTTATTGTAATCAAAAAGAAAAAAAAAGTTAGGTATTGGTTGTATTTGAAAATCATAGTAGTAATCTTGATTCATGCCCTGCTCTGAACTGCCTTCTTCAGTTCAGCGAGGTCCTGCTGTGGCATCTGTCCCACTCCAAGGGCAAGATTGGAGCAGAGCTACAGGTATTCCTCCTTTTCCCTAGCACAGAACCAGAGGAGAGCTGCTGTGCCCAGGGGAGCAGGAAGGGAGAAGGAGCATGAGTGCCATCCTGTTCCCATGCCCTTTGATGCAGTTCAGCCTCCAAAGCAAGACCAGACCAGACCAGCTGATGGAAACAGGGAGCTCCTGTTCCCATCCCTCTGCTTTTCCTCCCCTAAATTACCATTGATTCTTGTCCAAAGCTTGTAATAGTACTACAATACTTGGTAGTTACCTGTGATTCTGTGGTTTTTTTAATCAATATTATAAAAGATTCAACCAGTATGGCCCATTACTTTTTTACAGCTCTGATCCTGGAAGAACTGGCAGTGCTTCTCCTGGAGAAGATACAGTTGTTGGTTTACTGTCTCTTCAGCTGCACATTCAGAAATGGATAGACAGTCAGGATTCAGTTATTTATTTAAGGAAGATTTAGATGATCCTGATGCTGAAGACAACTACCTTCTTGAGCGTGTTGCAATTTTATCCTGTGCTGCTGAACTGGCAGTTGTAGCATAGGCTTCACATGCCGCCATTCAACAGCAAAAATTATGAGGGAATTATGGAAGGAAAAAAAAGCTACTATCTTAAAAGTGCTCAGAGAAAGTTGGAAGCAAAAAGTGTGTATTGAAGCTAATAAATATGCTTAATAAATTACTTAATTCCTGACCTTTTTATAGGAAAAGTGGTAGATAACTAAATATATTAATGAGAGCTATGAAAATGAGGCTGGAGCAACTTCAGAAATCTAGAAAGGTAACTGAAGCACAGAGCCTACATGAGGTGTTGGAGGCAGGGAATGTTTTTGCTGCCTGTTGGAACATCTAACTGGAGTGCAGTTGGGAACAGGGGGAGCTGGGACCCTAAGTTCTAGTATAGTTGATGGAGGATGGTATATCAGGATCCCAAAGTCAGATGTCTCAAGTCAGAGCTAGTACTCCTTTGGAATCTACTTGTCCAAGGTGTAATAGTACAAGAGAAACACTGCTTCTTACGGTATTTTTTGCGTGGTTAAGATTCACATCAACGTGCTATATTGGTTATTCCTAGCTGTATTAGGACTTACTCTGCCTAGCTGTTACTTTGAACTTAATTTTCTGTTTGTAGCTGCCCACCTAGGAAGTTTTGTTCAATCTGTGAGGTTAAGGAGATAAAATCTAAGGGACTCACCACTAAGTACTTGGTCTCCTCATTTGGATCGTTAATTTTTTTAGGGTTGTTGGTTGGAGCTGTGATCGATCCTGGCGAGTGTCTAACATGTGAGAAAAGCAGTGTGGTAATAGATGACCTAGAGCACAGTACGCATGGAGGAAGTACTGGTTGAGACCAAAGCTGTGTGTACTTTCAGCATGGACTTCAGCAAGTGTTTGCATGTAAGTGACCTTTTTTGTTTGTTCACAGGTCCTTGATTATTGGACTGTTGAGGTCAGTAGTAGCTATGTCAGCACAGGAACGGGAAATCTGCCTGAGGGGAAAAGGTAAGTCTGGTTTTATTCGCTATGGAGTTCAGCAGCTAAGTCTTTTGCCTGGTAGACTCCCTGCTCCTGCATTAATCGTAGGCGCTGCTGACCTCACCAGTCCAATTCACATTGGAACAGCTTGGTATGAATGGAAAGTCAGAGGTACTGGGACAACTTCAGGATCTTGAAGAAAGGGGTGGAAAAGACTAAATGTTGTCCGTAGGTAGTCATGATGTTTTAGCCCAGGAATTCGATCACCGTGGTTATATTCTGAGCTGAATACTGGGGTCTGGTTTTGTGCTATATGTAGTCCTTGGGGAGGAGGAGAAATAAGGCACAGAATGTAGATCCTTTCTCTTGTAATGATTGACTGGCATGTTCCTGGAAAAAATCATTGGTGCATATAGCAGAAATCTGGGCACACATTGAGTAGAGCATTACACAAATAAATGGCAACTTCTCTTCTCGTGAGTGGGAATGTACTTTACTAAATTCTTGAAAGCTTGGACGAGAACGTACTACTTATCTTGAAATCTAACTTTGGGGCGGGACACAATAGTTGTCTACACCTATATGCTCTATGTGGTTACCTCTGCGCATCTTACTGTCCTGCAGGTTTAGGGCTTCCCTCCTTTCTTGACTCTAGTCTGCAGTTTTACTAGCTAGGGTAAACAAAATATTACCATGTTCAACAGTGTGTGTGCTTCCGAAAAAGCTGTAGTTTCAAGGCATAATTTTTAGGTCAAGCTCTGTTGTGTTGCTTTCTTTTGTGTCTGCTGATGGTGACTTTAAAGTAAGAAAAGGTGCAGCTTGTGTTTTGGCTTTGATTCTGCCTATCTGCACTTATTTCTGAATCTTCCTTCCCTGGAGTCAAAAGCTGTCTGTTGTATCAGTCTGCAGGGCCTCTCCCTGATTCAACGTTAATTGCTTTGCCCAACACCCAAGTACTATCTGGACGATTAATCATTATCCTCTTAGATGTGGAGTGCTCCCTTGCAAAGAAGGAAGCAGTGCTCTGAGCTTATAAATGCAGCAGTGCAGAGAAGATTTTTCCTCATAGTTTAAGACCAGCAGGCCTGTCTCCTCTGTAATACTGACTGTATCTTTAGCAAGATCTGAGACACCTGTTTAGAGTATTTATGTTTACTCTATTCAGAAGTCAATTCTCAGTAATTAACCCTGTAATGGTGAAACTTCTAAGGGACTGTGTGTGTGTTTTCTGGTTTTCCTTATCTAGAATCTTAACCTGTTTCTGACTGGCTTAATAGAGCCTCTGCTCATGGTCATACGCTCCCTTGTATCTTTCATCCAGGAGTGTGGATTTGTGTGTGTGACTGTTTTAGCTGGGTTGCTGAGGCATAAACCACTATGGCTGTGTGCTGGTTGGATGAAGGCAAGCCTGGCCTGCCTGTTAGCCTGTTGTCTGAAGCTTTTGTATTAATCCTGCTTTTCTTCCTAGATGCTCTTTCCAGGATACATGAAGTGAAACTATGCATGCTAAGTGTGATGGGGATTCTTATGGACCACTTTGTTACAGTCAAACTATTCAGTTTTTCAATTTGTCTAGCTGCAATGTCTTCTTATCCCCAAGTTTCCCCTGTGAGGGATCTTCATTTGGATTGGGATATAGGGGAAACCTCACTCCTTGCACTGGTGCAAAGAAGGGGGAACTGGAAGTGTGAGTGCTTAAGTAGCACTGCTTGAACCTCAGTAACTCATCTGCCACACTTGTCTTTCCTGGCCCATGTTGGTGAGAAGGAATGTCTGATCCAGGCCTCTTAGTCATGTTGGGAAGTAGGAATCCAGACATCTAGAGAACTCTGTGTGTGTGCATACGCAGGAAGAATTGAGTAATGAAATAAAATTATATTAGTGGATATTTTAATTAGGAGTTGTTTGTATTTTTGTGGTGAGAAAAAATGTGATTGAAGGTGGCTATGCAAGAGGATACCATAAACCAATTGTGCGGATTTTCAGGATTAGTGCGTTGGGAACGGATTCTACAGCTGTGCACTGGAGGACAGGAGAAGGTACAAAGAACTGCTTTGAGGTATGGAGCCATTCTTTGTGCTTCTTTAAATTTTTTTATCAAGTGGGAATATATAGTTCTTGGCTCAATTCTTTCTTCTTCTTTAAATTTTTATCAAGTAGGGATGTAGGTTTCTTGGCTTTATAATGTGGACTTGTATGGTCTAACACCCAGACAGGGTAACTAGTTTTCATCTGTGCTGTGGCAATGAGCAAGAGAGAAAACTTGAAGAGGCCTGACTCGGCACTCACACCAGTTTTAAGCCAATGCGATTCCACTGTAATTACAGAGACATTAATTTCTTTACCTCATGATCTTGATAAACTACTAATTAGTACAGTACAGGAGATATGAATCTGTTTATGAGGTAGTTGTAGGTTCATATAAAATTAAGTCTGTGAGGTAGATATGGATGTCATACTGAGCTACAACTGAAAAATACAACTTTAGGCAGATTTTTTTAGAGAAGTTTTTAAGACTTTTAAGCTGATATTTGAAGACAATGCACATCATGTTTCTTTGTAAATGTTTATATTAATCTTCTGTGGTATTTTGCTTACAGCAATGCCCTGTTTCTTTTTTAAAGCAAATGATTCAGTCAGCTGTAGTAAAACATGAAAATGCCTGTGTGCATACTTCTCAGTCTTGTACGAATATGTTCCCAATGTAGCTGAATCATCCAGAAGCAATGTATGGCTCCCTTCATTTGGATTTCTATTTATCCTGCATTATCAGCACTAAAATACATGTATCCCTAAAGCAGTAATAGGTTGAGAAGTGTTTGGTCTATTATGTCTCCTTTTCACAGTTGCTCTGCATGTTCTTTGATATGGTTTTCTATTTGTCATGCATTATCAGTCACCAAAATACATGCATCCCTGAAGCAATAATGGACTGCGAAGTGTCTGGTCTGCTGCATTTCACTTTCACAATTGGTCTGTGTGTTCTGTACTCTGCAAATTTGTACTGTTACAGGATCTGTAGCCATTGGTTTTCTAAGTCACCATAAATTTTGCCAGTGCAAATACCAGCTTGGGTTACCTGTCCTAGGAGCTGGAACCCGTACAGTTTGCTTGTGTGCTGTAGAAGCAATAGTAGCACTATTGCAAGAAAAAAAAAATTATTTCATGCTGATACAAGAAGCTAGAGACACATAGCCTTGAACTCATTTTGCCATAGCATGGAAGTTTTTGTGTCATGCAGTTTTATAGTCTCAAGGCTGAATTACAATAAGCTTTATGTTAAAATAAGTTACATACATGCACATGGTTGTTTTACTTTGCCACTCAGAAGGCTTTCTAACTTTAAATACTGCAGTGAAAAAATGTCATTTGTGCTGTTGAAAGGCCTGACTTGCACATTGTGAGACCCCAAATGTCTGATGTACAGTCTTTTGCTAAGCAGACGTAAGACCAATCTGTAATTCTTGGATTCGTCACTTCCTGGCCACTTGATCTTAAAGTGACTATGGTACTTTATGCCTCCTTTTTTCCTTCTGTAAGGTGAGGCTGATGTTTGCTTGCATTTTCAAAAGGCATTCTTGGACTTATTAAAAACAAATAATAATCTTTAAATCTACCAGTCATAACCTGTTCAACACTACAATTTCTGTGAATGGACTTCATAGTCTGATTTTTGGTTTCTTGGATAATTTCCTCTACAGTCAGATCTCTTCTCTCCTTTTTCCCTCCTTGCTGTGTGTTTGGCCTTCAGACAGGCAGTACTGTTGGTGTTACTAGTCAGAGAAACCTGGGCTCAGGGAAGCCTGATGTTCAGCTCTTACTGAAATGCTGCTAAATTATTTGTTACAATGTGCAATTAATGGCTGTTATGTAATTCCCACTTGGCTTTGTAACTGTAGGTAATTCTACTTAACTGGAAGCGCAAACCCTGCATTAATAGATACATATATACAAATTGTCACATACTTGCCTTTGCACAGAAAAATAAGATGGCCTAAAATCAACCTAACTCTATAAAGCATTTTTAAGATGTATCTCAGTGGGGTAATATAGATTTAACTTCCAGAATGTAATCTGACATGCTGTATCGCTAACTATGCTTATTCTTCAATTACTACCATGAGCCTTTTCTGTTCCTTGCACGCAGTTGGCACAAGAGTTGTTAAAAGGACTTTGCTACTAAATGCTTTTTGTAATGTATACCTAAGCTTGAGTTTTTTGATATGGTATATTGAAGCAGCAGTCAAAGTGTCTGAATGTCTTGGCAATTAAAAAGTCCTAAACTAAGAAAGGAGAGCAATGTTAAACTCTGAGCAAGCAGATGAATGTGGATGTGAGCTTGACAGTATTTGAAAGGTGGATCATGCTGCACCTGAAGATAATGAGCAATAGACATTTGAATTGCTGAAAGCACACACTGCATTGGAAGCACAGTCTGTGGGAAGTTTTTCTAGCTGTTACATTACTGCGGTAAGTCACAAGTATTAAGGAAGGGGATTCTGCTATTAAGAAGGTAGTCTTTGGTGGCAGGAAGAGTAGCATTCTGCTAGAATAGAGGCTTCTTCCCAACCTTATCTACATATAAACCTGTCATCAACATGTGTGCTTTGCAATGGATTATAAAATTTTATAGGGGAAATACTGTGGTTTTATTATTTTCTTACAGTATAAATGGTATTAACTGGGCAGGTAGGAGTGGGTAGTGAGTAAGTCAGGATCCAGTCACCTATGAGCTGTTTAGTACTTCGTTGCTGGTTCCTAGTGCTTTATTAGAAGCTATCACAACTGGTTTCTTCCTGCTCACAGTTACTCTATTAGTGCTCAGTTTAATGATTCTTCTCTAGTGTGTAATTAATTCTGCCTCCTGATGCTGCCCTCCTGCAGTATTGTCAGCAGTCCCTACCTTTTGTTTTGGGAAATAAGGAAGAGGATATAGACCAGAGATGTTTTTAAAATGTAAATAAAAGTAATTCTTTTTACTTTTGAGTGAAAATTCAATTATATGTAGCTAGGTTTTACTGTAATTG